TACAAAAAAATTGAATTTTGCAACACAATAAATGATAATCTTTTTTTTCACTAAAAAATTTCTCTCACATAACTTTTTACATTCCTTTATCAAACAAAAAAATCGTAATAAAACGAAGAAAATATTAGATTCGATTATAATTATTTTCTTTCAATTCTGTAACTTAATATCATTTTAAAATCAAGTAGTTGAATATTTAAAATTTTAAAAATGTAATATCTAATATAATTGTTGAATATTCATTTACATGATTTGAAAAATTAGAAATTTGCTATGGAGGTCCCATATATTATTTTAATCATGAAATTTAAAACAAAGTAAAGACAATTATTATAAAAAGTGTCCAGACAAAGATATCGAAATCTATTCTCACAGAAATTATAAAATTTGTCCCATTTTCAAAAATTTTATATTGAAATTTAATGCCTTTGTGAATTCTTGTATTTTGATTGGTTGAAAATTAATTATTAAAAAATATTTTAAAATTAATTTTAAAATTAATTTTAAAATTAATTTTAAAATTAATTTTAAAATTAGCCAATAGAGTAGGCTAAAACATGTGACTTGTCCTATTTTGGCTAAATTTTTACATAATAAAATCTGTATCAGAATCAACACAACCATTTTCTATAGTTGTCTAAACTAATTAAATAATAGTCAAAACTAAAAACTCTCAAGCCTAACTTAATAAATTAGAGAAAATTTAATTTGTTTACCTGATCAAGTGAGTTTAACATTAAAATTCCAATCTTAGAAAGATTTAGATGCAGTTATATGGTTTTTAGTGCCTTCACCACTACCAGGATAAATAATTTTTGTCAGCATACTACTTAAAACCTTTAAATAACCTTTATATATTTTTGTCCTGAGCGTAGTAGAGAACTCAATCTCTACGTAAGGTAATACAAGCAGATGCATTTCTATCATAAAAATTTATTTTTTCGATACATAAATATTATAAAATTATATCAAAAAAGCAATTAAGAAAAATTTTGTCCATCCGCACGCATTATAGCAAATGATGTTATTTTAAATATTTCATCATTTTAAAATCTTTCATACTTTTAAAATCTGTTTACATAATTCAATTGCTTTTTTATTGCCATTACCAGCAGCTAGAGTTAAATATTTATAAAATTCAGGTTGGTCTTTTTTACTAACTTCATTATTTTTTTTAACGAAAATGCATAATGCAATTGAGCACCAGAAACACCTTTGTCAGCTGCTTGTTTAAATAACTCTTTTGCTTTTATTTCATCTTTATCACCACCAATACCTTCACTTAAATAATATCCATACCAATAAGTTATTAACTCATAAACCTCCCAATACTTCTTAAGAAAGATTCTGTTTTTCTTTTCAATTTTTAAGCATTCGTGAAAAGTCTATTTATTTTTCTTCTATAATCATGTCTAGTTATAAATTCATCAAATTTGTAAATTATCGAAGTATATTTAGTTGAAATATTTAATGCTGATGAATTTGCTTCAATTTTTTTGTAATCTTTTTCTGGTATAGTATTAAGTTCAGCTTTCATTTTGGCTTTCTGTTTAAGATTACAAATAAATCAAGGCCTTCTTTTTATCTTGATTTTAATACTAATGTGAATAAAAATCAGTTACTGAGATTCTTGAGAAATTGTTACTGGTAATTTAATATAAATCAATTCATAATTGAAATATAAATATTTAATTACTCAATTAAACATATTAATTTATATATAATTGTCTTTTGATAACGATTGATTCTGACCGACAATACTCAGTTACTTTTGAACATGATTGTCATTGGAAGTAGAAGTCATCAACATTGATAAATGAAAATTCAGTGAACAAAACTGTGTGAATAAAGATATGGGTATAGGAAGTAGAAGTACCATTTGTATAAAAACAATTTTCTTTGTTAATTATTTGTAATCAGATTTGAAAATAAACTATAACATTTACTAAAATAAAATCAATAAAAGGAGAGTAATATTTATTAAAACAGAGAATGCAATTTTTAATTTTAATATCGATATTATGAATAGAACTCACAATGTATTGTTCTTTAATTTGTGAATAGATATTAATAGAAATATTTATTGTATTCATGAATTATTCCAATTAAAATGATTTAATAATTAATTAGAAATGTGAACTGTAGTTTTGTTATAAATTCTGTTATTTATTTTTTTCTTAAAATTAATTTTCAAGGATTTGCAACAAAAATACTTAAAGTTTGGAAGTTGTTGCTTATTTAAAATATGTCAAGATCAATTTTTAAATTAAAAATGATATAGTATCTGTAAGTCTTAATGGTGTTGGTAAAAATAATAATAGATAGTTTGCTCGAGAAATGTATCAGGATAATATACAAAATTATAAACATTTATTAACTGATGCAAATATTATAAAATATATGTATCAAGAAAGGCAATTGTAAGTAAGGAAACTGAAGATAGAATAAATGATGAATATCTAATTGGATAGCCAAAAGGAGCACTCACCATTCTTAATGAATATGGTAAATTTCATAGAATTTATAATATCTAAACCTGAAAAAAAAGGTAGATCGGAAATAGCTTATGCATTGGATCATAACTACTGGGATAGAAGAATTGGGCAATTAGTTTTAAGTATGATGGTTGATAAGTGGGGTCCTGAAGTATGCAAAATTGGTTTAGAAGAAAATTATTACATACAGAATAAACAAGAAATCTTTCAATTTAATGGTAAAGAATTAGAACAATTCAGTGCTACAGTTAGACTTAAAAATATTAGTTCTTCGTTTATCCTTAAGAAAGTAGGTTTTGAACCAGTACTAGCAGACAAATCAATTGATTTTGAAAATAAAGTTTATGATTTACCACCATTAGATAATTTACTAAATTATTGTGAAAAACTTGAAGATTTTATTAATCAATTTAATGACATTGGGGACATAGAAGCTAGTAAGCTTTACACTCAAGAGAATGACAAAAATTTCACATTTTGTATAAATGCGGATGGCAGAATTAGATTTCATTATAAAAAAAATATAAAATATTAATTGTTCTTTGAAAACAAGATAATAAACTTTAATACCCTATTAGTTTTAATCTCATTTTAACAATATCTTTAATAATCACACTTTTTTTATATTTCATTTCATAAAATTATTGGTAAATCTTTTCAAAATATTAATAAATAAGTTTTTAAGGTAAAGAGATGTTTTACTTAACTACAAAATTTTGAAATGCATTTTATTGGCGGAAGCTAAGGGGAGCAAAGTGAAAGCCTTTCGACTCCGCTTCAACTGATCCAAATTTTGAGTTTAATAATCAGAATTGAATCTTAATTAGCTTAAATGTTTGGATACCGAAATCTCAGTTTAAAATATTGTAGCAGACTTTTCATAGAGTTTATTTAAGATTCCTATAGTCGAATGTTATTTCTCTAGCAATACTTGTTATTTAGCAGTAATTTTCATTATCAGTGTTCTTTCTTTGAGTCATATAAATACCACTTAAAACTTAAGTAGCCACTAGGGTTAATGGAGTGGCATACTCCAGAGCAGCTCCAGAGTGGACCCAACCCAAGTTGGAGCAACTATAAAAAAATCTGAAGTGGCTTCGGAGTGAGTTTAGAAATAGCTCAACCCAATCCAATCCAATTTATAAACAATTCTAGTAGCCACCTCTATAGAACCCAATTTTTAAGAAGAATATTTATCTGGTGACTGAACTTAGGAATACATTTAAAGGAAAAAATTTGAAGAAGAATATGTGAAACTTGGATATAGATTTTTAAATAGTCATAAAAAAAATGTTGCAGCTCAGAACATTTTAGAAAAGATTAACTGTCCAAGTCACCCGATCATGTCACATGCCGGATATCCATCAGCAAGATTAAATACTGTACATTAATTGTTACTAAGAGATGAACAAAGAAATATGAGAACAAAAATTGGAATAAATAGCTTCAGACATTTTTTAAATTTAGTTGTCTCAATATACATTATACAAAAACAATATTATTATGAAATTAAATTTAAGCATTCATTTAATAGAATAATTTCAATTGTGTTTATTATAAAGTTTTATTTCCACATTATATTAACAAAATTTAATTAATAAATTTAATTTAAAGTTTAACTAAAATGCCTTTGTATATTAAAACTAATAATAATAAATATAGGTTAATTTTCAATAATTTTTCTTCTACTTGATCAATGAAAAAAAATTTTTTTTTAAATATCTACTTAGTATAAAAAGTTTTTAAGATTTTTTTCTTTTTACAGTCGGAAGAATTTAATAATAGTAGTCAATCAAAATTCTATAACGTACAACAATTAAAATAAATATAAATTTTGAATTTTAGTATTTATTTTATAAGAAAGTTTAATATTAGCAACTTTAATTGAACTTATTGGACTATTCTTGTCCGGATTCTCTAAAATATTGTCTCCGCATAATGAATGTGGCTAAACTTATTTTTTTAACCCAAATACAATACCAAAAAATAACTAAATAAATAAATTTACAATTGACTTGTTTATTTATTATTCTAAATTAAAACAGAATTTCAATCAAAATAAGTATAATTCCAAAACTCCAAAAGGCACTCAAAAAAAATAATACTTAAAATTTCATATCATTATCATTAATTGAAATTATTTAATTTTATTAAAGTTAGTTATTTTTTAATATCCAATTTTTTGTATAAAAAATTCTTTTTTTTTCCTTCAAATTTCATCAAAAATTCTGCGTATATTAATTATCGAAACCAAAATCAAACATGCTACAAAATAATAAAACCAAGTTACCTGAGAAAAAAGAAGATGAGGTGATTAACTTATTAGAGAAAAATAGGTTTCATGTGGAAACTTTGGAAAGATTCTTAAATTATTCTACTATTAAAGTTTCTTTCAATAAGTACAACTTTTTTCTTATTATCTGGCATAAAAAAATTTCTAAAAAAAAGGATTATCTAGATTTATATAATACAATTCAAAATTATATGCCTAAATATAATCATTTTCATTATAAAGAATATTGCAGTGATCATGTAATCGTTAACAAATCTGATAAAATAGAAGAATTTGAAGAAAAAACAAAAACATCTTAAATATTATCATTGCGAAAAAAATTTGATTATTAAAATAATAATAAAATATTTTTCTTATCAATATGCGATATTTAAAAATATTGGTAGTGCACCGAAAACAGAATTTGTTGTAGAAAAAATGCGTGAAAGTTGCAAAAATATTACAGTTTTTGAGTATCTGTTTCAAAAGTATGCTGATGAATATGAACTATCGATTATGAAAAATAAAAAGGCTAATATAAATATGTATTCGAAGGTGATTAATATATTAACAACAAATAATTATCATTATATTGTGAAAACTGGGAATATCCAAAAAAATTATACAATTGTTGAAGTCTATTATAGTAGTAGTTACTCTTTTTATCTCTTTATCTGATATAAAAAAGTTGTTACTCTTCAGGATTATACAGAATTATACAATACTATAAATATCAATTATGTGTCTCCAAAAAATTCTACACATACTCCATTAGTTAAGTACTTTTGCAAAACGATCATATAATTGTATGTGAAGATTCATTAGATAGTGATGGCGATATTATAGAAGAATATATAAATTCAGAAACTATAAAACTTCGATATAATTATTGCAATGAAAATTGGATTATTTTTCATATAGTACACTATTTTTCCTATCAATATGCGATATCCAAAAAGATGAGTATAAATGATACAAAATCATTCACACACTATATGATGAAAAATGTGAAAAAATTTTCATACTTTGAAGAATTTTGCAAAAAATATGAAAATGTTCTGAATCAAAAAAAAGCATAGATTCTAATCAAAGATTTAAAAGAATTATAATTTGCATGGGAATTATTGTGTAACAAAAGCTTAGTGAAGATTAAAACTGTAGTATTATGCTAAAATCATTATTGTTTGATGAATATATTGGCAGTCATATAAGAATATATATGTTATATTGCTTATTTATTCTATTATTTTTTTTTTAAAAAAAATAAACATGTTCTAAGCATTGTTTTGCTGTGCAACATTTAAATTGCATCTCTTCAATGAATAATTAAAATTCTAAAAAGATAAATATATTAATCAATAGTACTTTAAATAAACTTAAATGACTCAAATTTTCTAATAACCTCTCAAAAAAATAGTCAAGGTAATCAAGAAATTAATTGGAAATGCAGAATTCCCTGAATTCACTAATCCTAAAGGTGATGATAACAAATAGATTGAATAATATTAAGACTTATAAGTGAGTAATTAATAGAAAATTATAATTAGTATCCAGAATTCTGCGGTGCATGAATCTGCTTATTCTAAAAAAAAAATTTTTGTATTGTCTCCCCAAGATAAACGTGACTTTAAAAACCAAATACAATACAAAAAAAATATTTTTAGAGAGCAAATTTTTGCACCGCTAAAAGTTATTTGTATAATTATTAATTGATGTGAATTAACTTTTATTTACTACTAAATATGTTAAAAAATTTTTTTAATCAAAAAATTATTCATTAAATAATTGTTAATATTTTTCAGGAAAACGATATTAACACTTAAGAAAAATACTCGTAATTTTTCAAAAAGAAAAAAGTTAAATCTGACTAATAGAAAAATTTTAGAACGTTCTTTTTGTTTTTGTACAATTTGTCTTCACAAAAAAAATATTAAAAAATTTATCTTCCAAATCTAAATTATCCAACCCCAAAATGCGATTCTCTAATTCCAAATATGATTTTGTTTTTTTTAATAATAATAGGTTTTGTCTGATTTATTTGGCTACATATTATAAAATTCTGTAATTTTTTTTGCATTTTTTACATTTTTTATCATGAATCTAATAAAATTTTTTTCTTCTTCAGATGAAATATTAAAAAAATTTGAAAATTTTTCGAAATAATCAAATTTTAAAAAATCAATAATGTCATTTTCATTTTTGATCTATAATTTAAGATTTTTTCAGTAGATTTCATTAGCATTGATTGAATCAATTATTTGATTAATTGTTTTTTCTAACTTGGAATCATAATGAGAATAGTCAAAAAATCTTGGTATCTATCGCCATCAATTTGTAGATCAAAAAGATCTCTAATAGTAATAGTATCTTTATTTCAGAAGATAAGATGATAATATTTTATATATTTTTGTCTGAAAGAGATTTTAAGTATATCAAATTTTGTAGATAATTTTTTACCTTTAGTAAATACTGTAAATCCAATTTCTCCTAATTTGGTAATTACTCTTGAATGGTATTCCATTATATTTGAGTATTAAAGAGTGAGTTCAAAATATATGAAAAGATAAAAAATTCTTCAAAGTTTATATACTTAATTTTTCTAATTTATATGAGATTTAATTAAAGCATAAAAAAATTTTAATAAGTAGATGACCTGTTTTATCAATTAAATTTTTTTACTGTAATTGAAAAACGCATATTACATAGCAAACCAGATTATAATTAAAACCAATTTTACACACTTTAATCTATTATTAAAAGAATTTAACTTAAGAATAATTAAATTTAATTGATCAAATAATTAAATTAATTTAATTAAAAATAATTGTAATTTTGTGATGAGACTTGCAGTGCAAATGTTGGCCTAGAATTGTGCCATTTGTTGAATTATTTTATTCTTTAGATATAGAATTCAAATTCTATATCATGAGTGCTAAAATAATCTTTATATCTCTCAAATTGATATTTTAAAATATATTTTATATTTCTAACATGACAAAGATCAATTATTTCTCTTTCGCTATCTTTTTGTTTTTCTCTGTCATAATTTTTTGTTCTTGCTATTTCTATATACTTTAGATTTTTAGTTTTTTCAACAAATTTTTTTAAATTTGGAAGTAGATCAAGCTCAATATTAAAAGGTAATATAAATATCTCTAACTTCACCCTTTTTACATCAAAATCTTGTAAAAAATAATTCAAGTTTTTATGACTATAATCATAAATATTAAGTAAGTTAAGAATTTTTAAAGAGCTAGGCAAATATCTAACTAAAGCTTGCAAATAATCTTGATTATAATAAGCAAATCCTCCTATTTGTAGTTGACAAAGTTTTTTAAATTTTTTACGTGTAGAATAGAATTCAAGATTGGCAGTTATTTAACATAAAGTAGTTATATTTGGATAGTTTTGACTAAGCAACAAAATAAATTTCTCTTTTATTTCATTATTTAATTTTTCTTCTTTTATTCTAAAAAATTTTAGTGATTTACATTTTATCTTTAGCCTAATTCTATTTAGTTCTACTTCATTATCTTCTAATTCCAGTCTTTGAAGACTATGTAAATTATTTTTGCCTTCTCCAAATGGATTTTCAAAAGATTTCTATATTGATAATGTCTCTAAGTTTGTTGCAATATTTGCAAAATTATCTTTATTAAATTTAATTCCTTGTAAAATTAATTTTCTAAGGCTTTGAGATTTTATTTGCAGTATTTCTTGTCGCAACAAAGGTGTAAAACTAGAAGTGCTAAAATAATTCAGCTAAAGTTCTTTGAGTTCAGTTTGAGCGCTAATTAAATTTAAGAATGGTTCTTGACAATCTGAAGGTATGTCTTTGTTATAAGCCATAATACGAATAGTTTGAATTCTTTTGTTTCTTATAGAAATTAAGTTAATATAATTGTATACAATCATGTTATGATTATTTGAAACAACAAATCTAAATTCGCATTCTCTCAATTCTGAAGAATAAAACCAGAAGCTAGGAATTAAGGAAAATGTTGAGCTATCTTCAACTACTGAAATGTAGAATTTCTTGATTCTCTTACATCTTCGAAACAACATGCTTTGAATAGCCATAAAGGTTGATATTTCTAAACTAGGTTTAGATCTATCCTGAGTATATTGATACCACAATGAGATGATATTTTTTATCTTGTAGTTATGATAAGTCTCTAGAAAGTCAACATATTTAAATAATGTTTTTTGAAAAATACGTGTACATGATAGATTGATCTGATATGCGCTTGAAGTCAATTGTTGCTTTTCATTTTCATCAAGATAAATAAGAAAAATAGATGTAACATCTATCAAAACTTTATTTATATTATTTAAAGGGTTAGCCCACAACAGAGTCACAGTAAAGCGACAAAATAAGCGATTAACTAAGAGGTAGTTAAATAATGAGTGGTGATTATATTCTAAGTTTTTGATAATTTCTAAATAACAATCATCTGTTAATTTTGTTAATTTCATTTTGATATAACTTATATTTTAATATAATATATAACTTAGGAAATGCGACTGGTTTATATAAAATACAACGATATTCAAAATAATGAGTTTAAAAATGAATTATTTAAATTACAACGATGGTGTAATATAAATTTTAATACAGTACATAGAAAATACAACAGGTTGACAGGTTTGTATAAAATTCAAAGATATTCAAAATAGTGAGCTTTAATTATCACAATATAATTAATTGCCAATTCGTCTAAGATTAAAAGTATTTCATATATGCAAATTACTATTAAATTTAATAAGATATTTATATTTTAGATTTTATAACTATATAGAATTTTATTAATGAACGAGGAAAAAAAAACTTTCAAACCTATATAAAAAACATAGTAATTTATGCTATAGTTACTATATAATAATACTATCGTATTTATGCGGATTGATAATTAAAAATTTTATAAACATTCTTGCACAATACAGGAAATTAGATTTTTTTTTCAATTTAAATTTTAATATCAAGCAAAATTAATATAATTTTACTAATTAATTTTATAATTATCGATAATTTATTTAAATACAATGCTAAAACCAATATAAAATAATTCTTTTATTAAAAATTTAAACCAAATTAATTAATAAAATTTTTTAAAGTGTATTAATTTTTTTTAACATGCAAATAATTGACAAAACTTTCAAAAAATTTGAACAAGCTAAAGAAACTTTTAAAAAAGCTAAAGCTGAAAAAACTTTTAAAAAAGCTGAAGATGAATATCTGGAAATTCTAGAAAGTTTATTTAAAGTTGCTTGCGCATCTGATGATTATGAAAAAGTCTTCAAATTTCTTAAAGTAATTCAATATGAAGGAAATAATTTTACTAAAAGTCAAGTTAAACATAAAATAGAAATGCACTTACTTGGTGGTTTTGGCTACAAACAAAATATTGTTAAGGCTCGACAATTAGTTCAAGAAGCTTCAAATCTTGGTCTTACTAGCGCAAATGTTTAGATTAAGTTACATGGGAAAAAAGTTAATTTTGACGCAAGCAAAGTTATTAAAAATTGAAGGAAATAACTATACAGACCTAATCCAGAGTTATTTTGCCATACGAATACTGTTTAAAATATAAAATTTTACCCAGAATTATATTTAATTTTGCTTAGAATTATATTCTAAATTCATTAATTTATCAGTATATAATAATATATTATACAGCTAATGAATCAACAAACGAATAAAATATCTGTTTTATTATATTAATAAATTATATTTATATTTTGTATCATTGAAGCACTACATTTATTTTAATACTAGAAAACATTAATTTTTTTTTAACAATTAATGAAATTCAAGATATTTATATATATTTTTAACTATTATCTTAACTCTGTGACATGACTGATCGTATGATTAGTAAAATAGCTATCGCACAAATCTCATTTTTATTGAGATTATATTGACTTTCTGTACTCTTATTTGATTCAGTATAGTGTAATATTCTAGTCTTCAGATCATAATTCTTATTGTTTTTTATGTCTTTACTTACTTTCTATGTATATATATGCTCAAGTTTGCAGAACCAATAATCGGATTCTAAGCTATACATATTATGCCTTGGTTTTCTTTTTTTGCATACTTGGCAACTTACTATTGACCCCTTTCCTTCTTCAATAGTGAAATATTCTATTTTTTGCAGATCATTTTCGGCAAGAATTCTTTCATGAAAGTCTCTAAAGTATATTTAACATGTTATAATCCTATTTAAGTTCTTTAATTTCTCCAGTTTCTGTGGCTCTTTACAACTGCAACAATGACTGGTTCTTCTTTTACTATGATAAAATTGCCGTCATTCTTCGATTTCTTCTTTACTACATTGGCATTTATAATTTTTGCTTGCACATTTTAAACCTTTTTTTTGACAGTCTATTTTAATGTGCCCATCTCATTGCATTTGTGGCATTCATTTTTTGGACAATTTCTGAAACAATGATCATAACTTTGACATTTATGTATTTTTTTTATAAGAATTCATTATTTATTAGATTATTTATTTGAAAAAGGAAATAATAATTAATATTTTTTTACAATTTGACCGTATTTATAAACTTTACAATTATAATGTTAAATTAAATATTATCTAACTACATTTTTGTACCTTTTAACGAGAATTTTCTATTTGTAAAAGTTTTTATTAAAGTTTTTGGTGAGATTGTTGTCTGGCATTATGAAATATCTATTACGTGACCTTATCTCTGCCTACATTAAGGCAGAGATAAGGTCATGTGAATCAACCCATTAAGATCCATATAACAAATACAACGCAATTAGAAATACGTTTTACCTATATTTTTCAAGAACTTGTATTTAAAGTACATTATCATATATCTAAATTCTAAAATTTTACAATCATTGTCGCAGTACAAAGAGAAAATATAAGGAATGCTTAATAAAGCAAAATTTATTATCTGAATATTTTGAGAAACTTTGCATAATATCCTTTAGCAATAAAACTAAAATAACAGTCATTTTTATTTTCTAACTGCTGCTGAATTTGTATTATCATAGTTTTCGTTTGCCTTAAAGTTAAATAATATTTTTACAATAGATTTCTTTTATACAGTATCTACTTTCTGAAAGTGTGTAATTATAAAATTAACTACAGAATATATAATATTTAAATATTATTTAAAAATTGACTCGCAAGTAAAGTGGTTAAATTATCCTTGTTTAAAGTTTTTAAAAAACTTATTAAAAAAATATTTGCTTGGTTTCTATTGACTCAACCCTATGTGCGTATTTTTAGATATATAATAATATCATATACCAATTTTTTAAGCAAGTTTTTGTTTTGAACTACCCACAAAACCATTAACATAAGTAACATTTTATTTGAATAAAATTTACTTAAAGGTTTTCCCTGTGCATCACTCATATTATATTATTCGAATAAAATTTACTTACAGGTTTTTCTTGTGCTTCACTCATCATTTACGGTTCAAGAAGATTCATATCTCTATTTTTAAAAAAAATTAAAAAATGATTGAGACGGTGGATAATAGAGACGAACTTATAAAATATTGCTTCGATATTTTGTAGAAAGCAACTGAAGGAAAAATAAGTTTAGTTACTTTTAATGATAATCCATTATTCACAGTTACCTTTAACTTGGTCGATAGAACTTTCAAAACGTTAAATTTAGATGTGCCAAAGGTAGTTCTTATTATCAGAGAAAACTTCATAAAATTTTTAAGAGTTATCGAACAGAATGAAAAGGAAGTTGCAATCAATGAGGTAATTACAATTATCTTTTAAATTTGTCATATATAGAAACTAACAAGGCAAAAATCTTATAAAGGAATCTAGTAATTCATCAACAGAAATAGCCATTCAAGAAAGTGCACAAAATTCTAACGTCGATGATAGTACTTTATCAATAAATAATTCTGGCGATCCCATATCTATATCTTCAAGATTCAAAAAAAAAAAAGTATGCATTACGAAATTCATTTAATATCACTAATACTTAAAATTCTTAGAACAGCCTTCAACATTGCTTTTGTTTAAATAATTTAATTAATTGTTGTTTAAATTAAGTAAGCAAATTAAACAAGAAATGGAGCTAAATTACATGTAGGAGTGTCTTGGTTGGTTAGTTTTATATTTCTAAATCGAATATCATACGTATTACTTCAATATTGCTTGTTTTAAAAATATTTGGGGAGGAAGTTAGAAAGTACTGTATTTTTATATTTTAACTATAAAAACTTTCGAAGAATTCCAATTTGGATTTTATTAATAAATTTTAAAACTGGTATTTTTGATCGAATAGTAACTGTAATATAAATTAATATTCAAATAAATTTTACAAAAAATTATGTACAAATCATGAAGCTAAAAGGGCTTAAAAATAATCACACTTAATAAATTCAGGTAAATTAATTATTCCAATATAATTCCAGGATAAATTCAGAATTAAATTAATTTTTAAATTATATTTTAATTTTGCCTATAATATAATTTCAGGCAAAATTAAGTATAATTCCAGACAAAATTAAAAAATAATTTCAGGCAAAATTAAATTATAATTTTAATTCCAAAAAATAATACAGTACCAGTATAGTTTCAAGTAAAATTAAGTATAATTCCTGATCACAGGATGATCTACAAAAAACAGCCAATTACAATAAAACCTGCTTTTCTAACAAGCAATATGACTTTATTTTTATTTTATAAAAAATAATCGAAAAATAAGAAATATTTAACAATAGTTTTAATCTTCACTAAGCTTTTTTTTTTTTTTTTGTAACACATATAATTCCAATTCTTTGATTAGATTCCATACTGGTTTATTTGATTCAGAACATTTTTATATTTTTTGCAATATTCTTCAAAGTATAAAAATTTTTTCACATTATTCGTCATATAGTATGTGAATGATTCTGTATTGTTGATTCTTATTTTTTTGGATATCACATATTGAAAGGAAAAATATTGTACTATATGAAAAATAATTGAATTTTCATTGCAATAATAATATCGAGGTCTTATGGATAAGGGATTTATATATTCTTCTATTATATCGCC